AGAGATTCCCAAGGGGCTTGTATAACAGTCTGCATGTATGTCGTCGACACCCCTCTCAGTGACTGTGTTTGTCATATCGAATGTATCGATGGCGTTTATCGCACAATGGGTCCACCTGTTGCCATTGGAGGCTCTTCCGTCCAGAGTTAGTGCTCCAGTGATCATATCTTTAAATGAACTGATTCTAGGTCTAGTCAATATCTTGGTCAGCATGCACGCAGCAATCCCCTTTACCCTTATTTCAATCGACGTGAGCTTTGTCTCTAGTCTTAGGTTCAGGATTTTAGTCCATCTGGGAGCACCTGTTATGACTCGCAATGCATCATTTTGAAGAACCTCAACGTTTGTCCACTGACCAGGAGAAAGAGTGAGTAAGGCAGGTGCTGCATAATCAACCAGGGAACGAACGGCGTGTATGTAAAACATTCTCAACACTCTGTGTCCCACTCCTAGACGGGGCCCTGTGATTGCTCTCATTATATTTATTCGTGACTTTGCTGTCTCCTTTAGATATTGAATTTGCTTATTGAATGTCATTTTAAAATCAATCCACACTCCGAGATATCGTTATTGTGTAACCCACTGAAGGTTAATGTCCAGAATGCGTAGGTGCCTGTCTGGAGCCTTCCCACCTAGTCTCATCGCCTTAGACTTCTGTGCAGATATTTTTAGCCCTAAAACACTGCATTCAGATGTCACTTGATCTAAAGCACCTTGAGCTTTATTTAGAAGTGAAGGACCCGTAATGACTAATGCTAGATCATCAGCATAGCTTAGCAATGTAACCCCTTCTGTAAAGGACATGGTAACAAGGTTTTCCATAAGGATGTTAAAAAGACTAGGACTGAGGACTCCTCCTTGTGGAGTCCCATTCTCGTGCAAGTGGTAGTCCGACACTTGTCCTTGCAACTTCACTCTGGCATACCTGTGACTTAGGTAATCTTGAATCCATGCTAGCATTTTCCCCCTCACACCTTTTTGAACTAAGGTGTGTAGTATTGCTGGCGGGCTTGCAAGTTCAAACGCTTTTTCCAGATCAAGGAAGACCACTACAGCTGGACCCGAGTTAACTGTTCCTAGTAATGTTGCTATGCAGTTTGCAGTACCTACTCCTCTAGTGAAGCCAAATATGTGTTTATGAAGGTCTCCAGTCTTCCACAGTAGCCTATTTAAGACCATCCGTTCTGCAGTTTTACTAACGCATGATGTTAATGAAATGGGTCTGTAATTGCCAGGTTCATTCGGCTTAGGAATCGGGATGATGTCTGCTTTCTTCCAAGAGGGCGGTAGTTTGCCTTGCTGCCAAGACGCATTGATGACGTCCAATATCCCTTGTTCTCCAGCAGGACCTGCATGTGCGATCATTGAGTATGTAATGTTATCAGCACCTGGTGCAGTGTCCTTACCACCTTTTTTGGCTCTGCTTAGTTCCTGTTCGGTGAAGGGACAGTCACATTCGTCATTTATAGCTATGCCCTCATGAATGACTGTCATCCTCTCTTGTTTTAAGCGTTCTTGCTGCCTTCGGACCATTGCAGGAAGCTGATATGAAGCTGTTCTTTCTGCAAATTGGAGAGCAAGTCTCTCAGCCTCCTGCAATGGTTGAATACATGCCTGTGGCCGGGCTGGTCGTCCTGATATAGTTTTAATCTGACCCCATATCTTGTCAAGACTACTATGTTCATTTAGAGTTTGACACCACTCAAACCATCTTGCCTCCTTTACTTCTCTAGAAACTCGCCTTGCTTCAGATATCACCGCTCGTAGCAGAGTTCTTCCTTCTGGTGTGGGGTTTCTCTTTAGATGTTTTCTGAAGATATTGACTCTGTGGTTCTGTTCTTTAACGTCATTACTATAGAACCAATAGTTCTTTCGTTTCGTGTTACCTGTGATAATGATTGGAATAGCTGTGTTCGCAGCAGCTGCAACGGCTTCCTGCAGATTGGTCTCGTGTATGTTCAAATCCTCAGGTGGCGTGTACGTAGCATACCATTTGTCAAGTTCTTCCTGGTATACATTCCAATTGGCCTTTCCTAAATTCCACCGAGGCTGCGCAGGAGGTGTAGGAGGTCGTGTCAGGTTTAGTGTCGTGACAGTAGCATAGTGGTCACTGGTGATCACCGGGTCTACTTCCCACTTCGCCTGTTGCCGGAGTGCTGTTGAGATGAACGTAAGATCAAGGGAACCTCCTAGAATGTGAGTGGGTTCCCCAGTGTTGAGAAGTGTAATCAGGTACTTCTCGCAGAGCTGCAGCTAAATGGCGCCCATCTGCATTGGCTGGCCCAGTTGCACCTAACTCTGGATGATGAGCATTAAAATCTCCAGCAATAATTAAATTTTCCTGCGTGGCCAAGGCAAGCACTGCCTCTGCTTCTAGTTTACGTCTAGGGGGCTTGTAGACGTTGTATATGAGGAGCTCAAAATTAGCCATATTCACTGTAACTGCTAATACCTCTACTCCATCCCCACATGAAACTGAGTCCATTTTCTTGCTGGGTATGGTGTTTCTTACTAGGGTCATTAATCCTCTTAGTCTCCCCCGCTCATACGGTAGAACATAGTGCTGATATCCAGCTAATCTGAAGGATTTCGTGGCTGGGAAAAGAGTTTCTTCCAAAACGATGATATCTGCTTTCGTGCTGATTGCAGCCTCCTGAAGTGTGTGTCTTTTATTTCCAAGACCTTGTATGTTCCACTGCAGAATTCGTAATGGCCAGACGACGGGGTCGGGTGGTGTTGCTTGTTCTACTAGAACTCCTCCGCGGAATCGACCTCTATATTCTCCGCCTCGCAAGTCGTGGCGCTGCAAATCGGACTGCATTGATAGTTCGTGGTCATCCCCGACATTGTTGGAATCTGTGCATAACTGTGGTCCATCGCTATGTTGTTGGAAGTGCTGCAGGTCGGACTGCATTGATTGTTCGTGGTCATCCCCGGCATTGTTGGAATCTGTGCAGAACTGTGGTCCATCACTTTGTTGTTGGTATTGCTGCAAGTCGGACTGCATTGATTGCTCGTGGCCGTTTCTTGTGTTGGCGGAACCTGTGCATCTCTGCTGTTCAATACGTCTTTGTTGGCGTTGCTGCATATCAGACTGCATTGGCTGTTGTTGTCTGTCTCCTGTGTTGGAAGATTCTGTTGATCGTGGGTGGTCACAGCGTCTTGCAGTTGCGTTTGTGAATGTCGAGGTTCCGGTGTCTTGACTATCCGACTGTTGTCGGTAGTCAGTATGTCCAAGTTGCGGCGTTTGTCCTCTTGTGCTCCATCCTGTCGGAGACTGTCTATTTCTCGTGTAACTGTGGTCTGCTGCACGATCTTGTCCATTATCACACAAGTGATGTCTTGAGTCTGTTGTTGTGAGGCGTTCTGCGTCATCTGTAGGCAATTGATAATGGTCTCTGCCATGATCTTCACGATGGTTTTCAGCTGGACCTCGGTAAAACTGTATAGCTGGTGAGCAGATTCCGAAAGTAAGTGTTTTCTGCTCTTTTGCATTTGCTGGACTTCTGCAACACTTTCATGTAATGTCTGATTCGGAATTGACAGATTCGGGAAATTTTGCTCTGTGAGAGCGGGTGGCTGGTGTGGCTGTGCACGAGTGTTCCAGACGTTGGTGTTGGGGTATGTATCGCTGGGCAGTGTGTTGATCCTGGCCTGAGCTGTCTGCACTTTTTCTTTCCGTGCAGAGCAGGTTGTGCTCCAGGCATGATGTTTGCCTCCACAATTTGGACATTTGGCTGTTGTGGTCTGGTTGGCCTTGTGCTTGGCAATACAGTCTTTGGTTGGATGTCTCAGGCTGCACACTCCGCACCTCTCCTGTCCTGTGCAGCGTGACTGATGGTGGCCGTATTTCTGACACCTGAAGCAGCGTAGGGGTTCCGGGACGTATGGCCTCTGTCGGTATGTTCCGCAATTTCCAAGACCGAAAGTTTCTGGCACATGTCCCATGACGGTCACCAGAACCTGACGCGTCGCTGCCTTGTCTACTTTTGTGTGGCAACGTTCCGCATTCAGGACTTGCTTGTGTTCTAGCACTGGATCCAGGGGAAAGTCGATTGGGTATCCCAAAAGCACGACTCGTGTGCGTCGTTCTGAAGGGTCCAGCTTTACCAAGCACACAGGTTTCCCCTGCAGGACTCTTACCTTCTCTAAGTAATGTGCAGTCTGTTGGTCTTGAGGTGTCAGTATTATTTCTCCCTTCAGGTTGACTGTAATGGAAAGTTTGAGCTCTGGCTGTTCTTTTTCCATCGCCGTTACTACTCCATATGCTGTAGGAAAGTGGTCGGTCTGCATGATCTTGAATTTTGGAAGAAGTGCAGAGGCTGGCGATGTCTGGTGTGAGACTGGTGGTGTCCTCCCCTGTCCCATACTGCTGTCCTGCGGCTGGGCTGTGGAGAGAGGAACAATGGCTGACACTGGCTGGCGTGAAACCGGCGGTGTCCTCTCCTGACTCATACTGCCGTCCCGCGGCAGCGTTGCGGACAGAGAAGCATTGACTGACACTGGCTGGTGTGTGAATGACGCTGTCCTCTCTAGGTCCATTACGTCCGCTGACTTGCTGGTAGAAGCAAGTGGTAAAGCCTCGATAGCAGTTTTCTTTGGGGCCTGCTGCACATCGGTCCACCGTCCTTCCTCGTCCGAAAGCTGCTTCCATTCCCTCTTGCGCTGAGCCTTCCCCATGGCTCTCTTCAGGTAGTGAGAACCGACTCAAACCACCGGAGCAGCAGGCGACACGTCCTCACTGCACGGTAGCTCAGGAGCAACTCCCCTTAGTCGTGGTGTTATGCTCCTGATAAACGGCATTCAATGCCCCTACTACCATTTAAAAATTTCACATGGCCAAGCTAAGAACAATACATTGTTTGGTGACTTAACAGAACTGTGAGGCGCCGAACAGCAACAACCGTCTGAACGAGACTATCCAGTTTTTCGGCAGCGTATGCAGAGAAATTTATGAGAGTTGCACCCTGGCAGCCCTGGAGTGTTGACGGTTTGCCTACCCTCCCTGGTCGTTGAGGTTGTTTGCCACTTTGATCACCAGGGGGTGCAGGTGTCTCTGCACTCCCTGATCTTGCTGCCTGGCTACGTGTTGATGTGGCGAGCTTGCGATGCGAGGCCATCTTTCCCCTGTTGTTGTAATAACCCTGAATCTATCTTGAATGAATCTTTCATATCCTCCCTCTTCTTCACTCAATACCCCAGCTTAACACTGTTACAGTCCTGTATGATCCATGACCCCTCACTGGACTGCCACGAATATAAGCTGAATATTAAATGAGGGGGACACCACAAGAATAGGGGTTATTAATTTATAACTAATAATAAATATCATTAAAACACTGCCACCACCTTCCCGATCAACCATACCTGAATGTGTCTATCACCGATCCCCCAGGAAGGCAAGGAATCAGTAATCATGGAACACCCGGGTAATAGGAACTTCCGCAATAATTTTTTGGGAAATAGTTGGTTTAATTTACTTTGCTTATTTAAATCCTAGGGCAACTTTAATATCTATTAAATGGAGGAGAACATGGGGTGTTTCCAATTCAACACATAAAAATGACAAAGTAGAGAAATATATCAAAGGGGAATTAAGAGAATACCACTGGACAAGTTATACAATTTATTTTATGAATCATGTAAATTAAAACAATTTGAACATATACCCTATTCTATTCCCCTAGAGGCACAATGGGTATCTACTGAGGACATGAAATAAAGTGCACAATACCTTAAAACCACACTGAGGCCAAGATGTTGATAGCTGCCCTCAACCCCTTGGATGCGGGCCCGAGTCTCTAGTCCCAACACACTCCCAGGACACACTACCGAAATTTTCCTTTACCAGCTTACCGGTGGCAGGGATTGCTCCTCCCATCATCTAATACAGACCCAGGGTTCCACCCCTTATTTTGGCAATGGCCAACCATTTAACACTAGGCCTGAGGTCTGGCTCTCTAGAGCCAATAAGGACTTGGCACTTATCTACCACCAATCACCTTCCATTCTCTGCCTTGGAAGGATACATGAAATTCTTGATTGTGAGAGTGAACTCCGTGGGCCTGGAGTTCACTGGCCGTGCTGGATACCCGGAAGTCGAGATGGTTATGTGTGACATGCTCCGTGTCCCAGTGATGGCCATCTACGGTGTTGAGCTTGTAACTGCTCATTGGGTTATTCTCAAGTTCGTGGGGGAGGAGGAATACCGTGACTTCCTCCGACGTTATGAGGGGCGTTCGTTGCCGTTGCCGGATGGTGCCGGCTCTGTGTCCATTACGGACCGTAGTGGTGCCTTAACGTATGTCAGTGTGCATGGGGCGCCCCTGGAGTTTCCCGAAGACCTGCTCCGACGTTACTTCCAGAGGTTTGGAGCTGTCGTCAGTTTGCGGGTGAACACGCTCTCCTCAGGGAGGTATGCGGACGAATATTCGTACCCTGGGGATGTGCATGCGGTCGGATATACCATCTTCTGTCCGGCTTATGGGGTACTACGTCCGGGTGTACTATGCCCGGCAACCCCGTACATGTTTCCGGTGTGGCCTGTTGGGGCATCAGGCTGCCGGGTGCACTGGGGCAATGGTTACTCCCGTCAACTTGTTCCGGGAGGAGGACTCCGGGGGTGAGGAGGTGAGCGTCCCGTTAGCTGATGCGGCTCCCCCTGCGTCGCCCGACATTCCTCCGGTTGTTGCAGACCCTCCTCCGGGTGTTGCAGTGCCGTCGGATGATCTTCCTGCTCCTGTCGCTGTCCCCGCTGCTCCCGTGGGCCTTCCTGGTGATCACTGCGAGGCGTTGCCATCTTTCTCTCCCTTGTCTTCGGCTGCTGCGCCTGGCCCTGCGTCCTCGCCTCGGGTCCCGGCTGTGCTGGTTGCTCGGGTGGCTGTGGAGCCTACTGCTGTGTGTGGCCCGGTTCCCCCTGTGGTAGAGGCTGCTGCCGTTTTGCATCGGGAGTCGGTTCGTCCGGCTGGTGGTGCCTGTGTTTTTGGGTCCACCTCCGGCTCTGACGATATCCAGCCGGACCTCAAACGTTCCTGGCATTCATCTTCTGCCTGGGCCGATGTTGGTGACTTCAGTGACTGTGAGTCTTCGGGTGTCGATGGTGTGGATCCGGATGCGTCGCTGTCTATGCAGTTGGTGGTGGCGGAGGTCCATGTGCCTGCTGGTGCCGGTGCCCGTGTCTCTGACGTGCCTTCTGTTCTTTCTCCACCAGGGGACTCTCCGCAGTGGGGGGTGGTGGCTTCCTCTGCCAGGGATGGTGTGGATGCTGGTGCTGGGCGTGGCCTGGTGGTGACATTACGGAAGGATGCGCGCCGTCTGGGTTCCCTGCCGTTGTCTGGTGGTGTGCCCGTGGCCGCGGGTGCCCCTGTGGTGGTGCCCTCTGTCAAATTAGTTCCTGTGAGGATGCGCGTTGGGGCCCTAGGGGACGTGTTGCCAGCGTCTGTGATGCTGCCGGGTCACTGGAACACGATTGCCGAGTTAATGCTGTCTGACGAGCCGGAGAACTTTCTTGGTGAGCAGGTTCCCTGCGTGTGGGGGCGCGTGGCGGAAACTCGCCTCGTCAGTGATACCATCTGGGTCCCCTGTTTGCGGGTGTTTGTTTCCGGGGTTCCGGATGTTATGACTTCCCCAGTGGATGTGCGAGACCCTCGGCGGTGGTTGCTCTGGGAAGCGTTTAATGTGGTTCCCGTGGGTCCGGTTTCCGGGCAAGAATGTGCACTAATAGCGTTTTATGTGCAGTTTGTGTGTGTTGTGTTTCCGAGGCTGTATGCTTACGCTATTGTGTGTCCTGTTTGTGTGCTTTGTGTATATGTTGGGTGCCCCTCACGCTGCTTGCTTGCCCTTTCGTGTGTGGTTTTTTTATGTGCGTTCAGTAGTTTCTTGTGCGTTATCTTGTTCATGTGCTTGGGTTGTATATATGCCCTGTATTTTGCATTTGTGTTATATTTCTGCTTTACGTGTTGTCTTGTGTTTTGTGTTTTGTTCAATGTTTGCTGTATGTTTTGATTTTCTTGTTCTCTTTCATGTTGTACTTCATGTTGTGCTTTGTTGTCGGTCCTTCAGGCCGGTGCTAATATGTTTGATTGTTTAATCTGTTCCTATGTTTTTTTTCTTTGTCATTATTTGCTTGCGTGCCTGCTTGTTTACATTGCGTTTTGTTTTGTGTTATGTTCTTGACTTGTTATATGTTTGTGTTTCTCTTGAGTTTTTATCTGTTATACTTAATGTTGAACTTTGCTGTCGGTCCTTCTGGCCGGTGGTTTTCTGTTTGCTTTGTTGATATGTTCCTATGAATGGGACTCCACAAGAAGGAGTTTTATTGTATTTATTTGCATGCCTGCATGTAAAAATAATAATAAAAAAAAAATATCAATATCACGGAATTGGAGAGTACATCTTGTTTTAATAACTACTCGACAATATCCTGTTTAAATCTTAAACAATCAATCTTTAAAGATTTTTGTTTTAAAGAATTTATAATTAAAATCTTTCCAAAATCTTGAGTATGGAAGTCAAGTATTAATGTAATAGTATGGTGCGAATCAGTGTTTGTAAGAATGATTTTGCTTTGGCAGAAGTAGTCCGTTAATAGACAGAGATAACAGCATTTAAAAGTTAATTTTACTTACAATGTTACCAACCTCGGCAGGAAGCTTAGAAAACTTTATGGGCTACAAGATGAGAATAGTAACAACATCGGTAGTTCTACCGTATCTTGACTACCAGAGGGCCAGCGAGATCCCTGGAACAGCCGTCACACTGACTGACTCCTGTGATGCCCGGCTCATCCACACCTTCGCGGCAAAACTCAACTTCACGTATGGTTTCACTTTTTCTTTAAAATTTGTGTTTAGCATAAATTGTAAATCACCTAGTACTCACCCATGCAAAAAAACAATGATTACACATTGAATCAATCTGTACAATTTTATAATGCAATGCAGAAATACATTATAAGATATGCATATAACTACCTGTTTGATAATACAATATATGCCTGCTGTAAACAAACACAAACACACACACACACATTCATGCATACACCCCCATACCCAGCCATTCAGATTGAAAGTTGCAACTGATTGACAATTGAGAAGCAGGAACAAGGAACCGAAGCTCAACCTTTAGAAGCACAACTAGGTTAATAAAACTAGGTGAATACACACACCCATAAACATGGGGCCTCACGGCTGAGTGGACAGCACTAGGGGGTCATATTCCGAATAGCCCCAGGTTCGATTCACGGCGGAGGCAGGAACAAATGGGGCAAAGTTTCTTTCACCCTGTTACCCATGTTCACCTAACACTAAATAGGTACCAGTAGAGTAATATAGATTAGAACCATGCGTGACCTCCCAGACAGGTGAGCCATCTGTGGCCACATGTCTATGTGAGTGCAAGGGGATCCGTCTCATCACGTGAGAGGTGCCCCCGCTTGCCTGGTTCTAGTCCAAGCATGTTTAATGGGGTGTAAGGTTAGGATATGGTGAGCATGTGATCATGTGCACCATGTGTGCTTGTGTGTATGTAGAAGTTGTAGTTAGTGTTGAAAATATATGCATAGTAAGCGTAGAGTTGTACAGGTGTACGTGTATGCTTCGAGTTAAGCATGAGGCATCTAGATCTAAGCATGGGGTCTCCAGAGTTAAGCATGGGACCTCTAGATCTGGGCATGGGACCTCTAGAGTTAAGCATGGGACCTCTAAATCTAGGCATGGGACCTCTAGAGTTAAGCATGGGACCTCTAGATCTAAACATGGGACCTCTAGAGTTAAGCATGGGACCTCTAGATCTAAGCATAGGACCTCTAGAGTTAAGCATGGGGCCTCAAGATGTAAGCATGGGAGCACTAGTGTTAAGCATGGGACCTCTAGATTTAAGCATGAGACCTCTAGAGTTAAGCATTGGGTCTCTTGGTCTAATCATAGGAGGGGGGGGGGACAAGAGTTAAGCATAGGGACCTATAGCCTATGGGTCTCTAGATCAAAGCATGGGAGCACTAGAGTTAAGCATGGGACCTCTAGAACTAAGCATGGGGCCTCTAGATCTAAGCTTGGAGGGGTGTAGAGTTAAGCATAGGGCCTCTAGAGTTAAGCATGGGGTTCTAGATGTACCGTTGGAAATAACCGGGAGGGAGGGTGGGAGACTGGGCGCTGCCTAGTGTGCACACATGACCTTGCCCGGTGTGTAAACCAAGTTATACTTACCGGGTGTTATCAGTTGTCCACTATCCCCCGCTATGCCTCGGAGAATTAAAACCACACATTAACCAAAGGACCTCTGTCGAGGTCTCCCTATGTCAGGCATGCCTCCATCAGATCTATTTCAAGCAATTTCAAGGCTTGTTCTGTGCAAAGGGGTAAAGCAATATTTAATGTACATTTGTAGGCGAAAGAAAGAGGGTGTGTTTATCCCATACATTATCAGAAGAGGAAAAGGTCTGTCCCAGTGAGCCCTCACCAACCACCAGTCTGGCGAGTAATAAGATGTTTTCGATTACATACTCCCCCTTACCCAACCACATCCGTTGGCATCCACCATCAGCTCCAAATCACCCTTCTTCAGTTGTTCTTCATCAATCACCAGTCAATTCCTTACATTACTTTTTGTCTATCATTTAAAGAGGGGTGTGATCTTAATATTTAGTTTTCACTACAAGAGGCCAGCCGCCACTGGTCAATCGCAGAAGTTGTGGTCATTAGGACCGCGCTCAGTAGAGAGAGGCCGAGTAATGCAGAGTATGGGGCTATCCCTGCTTGGAGATGGGCAGCCAAGGGGCCTGACAGCTGAGTGGACAGTGCTTCGGATTCAAAGTCGAGAGGTTTCGGGTTGGATCCCCAGTGGAGGCGGAAACAAATGGGTAGAGTTTATTTCACTCTGATGTTCTGTTCACCTAGCAGTAAATAGGTACCTGGGAGTTAGACAGCTGCTACAGGCTGCTTCCTGGGGGTGTCTAACAAAAAGGAGGCCTGGTCGAGGACCGGGCCGCAGGGACGCTAAGCCCCGAAATCATCTCAAGATAATCTCAAGAGATCCCCCACTCCCTTACCCCCACACATCCGGCGCCAGTCTCGGCCCCTCCTCCAAGACCCTCACCCATCGTTCTCCTTGGCAAACTTGGAAACATATCAGATATATAAGCAGAGAAATTGATGTAACAATGTTCAGATTAAGGCTGGGACACATCAAACTGCAGCACACAGTTGTAAATATAGAACAGTCACCTGCATTCACTATCATGTGGTTTAAACGATCGAACACTATATCCTTCACTGTTTCAGACATCATAGCACCAGAGTGAATTTCAAACAAATATTTAGCGGCCTTAAAATACCCTTCACCATCAAGCATAAATCAGGAGATGACTTCTCGTTACATGAAAATAACCAATTTGTGCAATATATAGCATTAAATTTATTAAGCTTCCTTTAAGCAGTTCAACACATTAAACACGTGTTCTGTATCATGTCGTTGTTCCCATCAAATCATTCTGCTCCTATTCAATTCGTTGTGTGCATCATATGTACTAGCCATTCTACTTTATCATCTATCTTTGCTTTCTATCTTTTTGTGTTTACTCTCCAATATGCATAAATTAAACATTCCAAATCACACCATTTATTAAGTTTAACATTTACTTGACAGTCACCTTCCAGCATCTTTTAATCATTCCTTAACTAAAACTATTTGTCTATCAGGTGAAAATAGACAAATATAGCTTCGTTCACCGTTTTCTTAATCTAATTATGCTTCTTTCAAATTTTAAAATACTCAAGTACATCACTTCTAAACCCCTTGTGTTAAATAAATTGTTTTTGTCTACCCTATCATTATCTTTGAGAAACTTGTATGCGGTGATCATATCCCCAAGTTTTATCTGTGTTTTTTATGAGATAAAAATCTCACCATCCTGATATGAGCTATAAGAGGGAGTCATGTTATCCGCATACAATTTTGCAGCCAGTTAGTGAGTGTGGTGGGAATCACCAGCCGGGTCGGCCGTTCCCCTGGTCTCCCTGCTGGTTCTTACATTGGTCGATTATTGGTTGCCCTGTCGGGTGGTTGTTTACCACTGCGGGGTGACTGTTTTTCAGTATCAGTATGGGGGACTTACGTGTAGCCACTGAGGAGGAAGGACTCGGCTGGACTGACATTTGCCTGTCGGGTGGATATTGGCGTCTTCAGCAACACCCTGTTTGCAGTTATAGGCGTGAATATGGAAGATCTCGTCGGTCTACAAGTTGTTCGTGAGGACAGAGTGGTTGTGAAGTTTGCAGAGAGTGGCTTGTTCCGGAGGTTTCTCGACCAGTATGAGGACAAGGTAGTGGGCTTGAGCAATGGTCTCGGCTCTGTGATTGTGACGAATTTGAGTGTGGAGTACACATACGTGTCTATTAGGAATGCACCGTTTGAAATGTCTCAGGATCTTCTCCGTCGAACTCTTGCCAGGTATAGGTGTGTGGACTCTATTCGTGTCTGTAGATATGCAACTGGAGACATCAAGGGGCTCGGTAAGGGCTACAGAACGGCTAAGATGGTTCTTCATGGGAATGTGCCTTTTCCTCTCGTGCTTGCTGACTTTATGGTCTGCTTCTCCTACCGTGGGCAGACTCAGAGGTGTTTTATATGTGGCCACGTTGGACATTTGGCTGCTGCCTGCGACACTCGGATGTGTGATTTTATTAATGTGTTCCATGAAGCGGATTTTACTCCCTTGCCCGAGCATGAGGATGTCTCGGTTGTGGAAGGTACCCCTTGTGAGAGGACGGACGCAGTGATGGGTGCCGCTCCAGTAAGTGCAGTTGGTGGTGTGGGTGTCAGGGTGGTGAGGGGTACAGAACCGCCCCTGCCATTGGCTTTCTCACCTCGGCCGGCTCCTTCGCCTACGCTGGCTCCTACGCCTACACTGGCTCCTTCTCCTCCGCCGGCTCCATCGCCTCCATCGTCTCCTTCGCCTCCGCCGGCTCCTTTTCCTCCGCCGGCCCTGTCTCCAGCTCCAGTGTCGCCTGTGGGGTGTGGGTCCTGTACCCCCTGTGGATGAGGCTGGTGTTTTTCCGGTTCGTGTGTTGCCCAGTGAATTGCGGCCGTCTGTGGGCTCTACTAGGGTGCCTCCTGCTGGGGGCGATAGTTGAGATGATCAGAGACCTCTGTCCAAGCGTTCCCGGAGGGCTAGGAGTGTGTCGCCTCCTCGTGGGTGGGCTGCAGAGTGTCACGATGTGGATGATGATGTGATGGGGGCCTGTTACGCCTCCGGCGCCTACTGCTGGGGCCTCCCCTCCTTGGGAGGTTGCCCCTAGTGATCGTGACCTCGTGGTGGTCCTAACGAAAAGTGTGCGCCAGGAGGCCTCTGCTCCTGTGCCTGGTGGTAGTGGCCCTGGCGTGTGTGCGTTCCCTGTGGTTCCCCCTGGAGTGAAGAACCGTGTGACTATCAGTACGGACCTCTGTGGCTACCCTTGTAGGCTGTGTATATCCACTTAAAGAGGCTCCTAGACCTCGGAGCTCGAGGTCGCCTTTGTTTCTTTGTCGTTCTCTGTTGCTGTCCTTCCTCTTCTCGTCGATGTCTGTTCTTCAATGGAACATTCGTGGTTATTACGCCAATTTCCTTGATCTCCAGCTTCTGATTTCGCGGTTTTCGCCCCTTTATGTCTGTCTCCATGAGCCGATGCTTGGTGCTCGATGCTTGGTGCTTGGTAATGTCAAGCTCGTTTTGGAGGCATACTGCTTGCGGTTACCGATGTGGGAGTTTCCCGATAAATATGCTTAGTGTTTGTGCTTGCATTATATGCTCCCGGAACGTTTATAACTTATTGTATTTTCT